TTTTTTTTTTTTAGAAAAGTGACAGAATCCCATTTTTTCATTGAAAATTGACAGAATTCAAATTCTCATTTTATCAAACACTTTGTATGCATTAATGATTTAATTGATTCAAAACTAATTTTCTATATGTATTGACACAATTCACTTCCTTTGAATTTCAATAATGTTATTTTCAAACATACTTCCCAATCTAATTGAACAAGGAGTCAAAAACATTAAAAGAAAAAAACATGTAATTTTTTTCCCCAAAGCTTTCAATATTGAAATAACCTTGATCTTTTTCCAAATCTCTGAATAATGAACGAATTTGTTGATGATTTCATCTTTCTCCTTCCAATTTTCTCTTGTTTTTTCCCAATTTGAAGGCTGATTTTCGTTGATGCCGTGATATTTATGTTTGAGAGTATTTTGTATGTTAAATTTTACTTAATTATCACTTAATTCAAGTTTAACATGTTTTTTCAAAATTGTCCCAAAATATAGGGTATTTGTGTAAATACCCCATGAAATAAATCCTGCAAACTAATAGTCACCGAATTAGGTTTCTTGGGCCAATTTTCTATGATCCATTTGAACAACTAGATCACTCAAATCTTCTTTGCTAACCCAAACCGGTCCATCTAACATATTATTCATACACATTTATCAAAAATAAATAATTTACGTAATAAATCATAATCATATAACAATAAATATTACCTCAACTTTTTTTGCCACATGGAAGAGCATTGTATCTTGGAAAACAAATATCAGATAAACCATGTTGTGTTGGGGCGAATTACTTCGTTATATCTCGCTTCATCTCTTTCTAATCCATTTCTATTTTTATTTTATTTTTCTTTTGATTGGGCTAGTCGATTTTTGACTACAAGTAATTCCATTACGTTATCATTTAGCAATGCCGATGTTAAGACGTTTGAGTGTGTAAAGTGGTTGTACGTTAAAGTTTTGAAACTCCAATTGGTGTTTCTGATTATGCTTCTTAGATATAACTATCGAATTATGCTTCTTTGAGGCATACGACATATGACCATTGATTTGATCAACCACGAAAAAATAACTAATATAAACAAAGGAAAATGTGAGAAGAATTAGTCCACAATTTGGTTCACCAACTCCAAACAAAATTGGTCGATGTCAAACCTCTTTAAACTACTCCGACCACATAAATAAACAAATAGAAAATACTATAATGATTAGGGTGTGCACGTTTATGAAGGGAGCCTATGAGAGAGAAATAGAGAATGATTACAAAGATTTAAATCAAAATTAATTTCAATAATTAATTTCAATAGTCACATTTTATGATATTCATAATATTTTAATTACTAATGTGACTATTCGTAAGCATTGCTTCTATAGATATCATAATTGTAGCTTCCAAGATCATCTTCTCATCGCATTATCTTTGAACACATTTCCTATTCATGTACTGGACTTTTCAAAAGAACAAGAAGAGGAACAATAGGAAGTAAGTTTGTCATGGGAAAATCTTAAGAATTAGTCTAAATGTACCGAATGGGGGGTACCGAATGGTGCCCCCCTCTCACAATGCAGGCCCCATGTGTATTTAAAAATTTCGGCTTGTGGTCCCCACTTCCTAATGTTAGTGGGGTGTAAAAGATTTGGTAAAAAATTCGGTACATGTAGCATAACCCAAATCTTAAACACTAAAGTCGAATTACATATAGAAGTCACTAAAATTGAGTCTACAAAACTATAAACACTAAAGTCAAATTACATATAGAAGTCACTTCACATTTTTTCATATTATTATCATCATAAAGAGAACATAGGCATATACATATACATACCGACTAAATAAGTGCAAGTAGATAGTAAATCTTCCTAAATGGAAAAAGGAATGGAGCATACATGTAGTAAATGTTAGTTTGAGAGTTACCACTTAGTGCTGAATACTTATTGGGGTATTCTTCCAGAGTATTCATTACTAAATTTATAAAGAAGTATTCTAGAATCCCATCATAGGTTAAAAAAGCAATTGAATATTTTCATTGAAAAGTTTTTCTTCAGTTCTGCTCTATAATATTCATCTTCAAGTGACAAAAAAAGGAAATTTTTACTGCTTAGTGTTGTTTACTGCTTTATTTATTGTTTTGATATAATTGCGGTATTCAAAGATATGCTAAATTGGATTGTTTGACTAGTCATCTAGACATAATTAGATTGATAATTCCGCATTTACACCTAATCACCCTTATCTAGGTGTAGTTGGGTTTTCAATCATAATTTAGATAGGAATGAAGCATCCATATGTACAAGAGATCTTGTACACGTTAAATATTGGTATTTCTTCATCTTCATTGAGGAGCTCAAAAACACATGTATCACCTTAAAATATTAAGGAATGATATTTCTTTAAAATCATTAGTCAAATGTGAAGAAAAATATTTCTAGTGTGTTTATTTTAAAGATAACATGAGGTCAAATGAATCGTTACATTATAAAAAAGGCTCACAATTTTTCTATGACCCTGAAGATTAATGTTATTGTGAACAAAGGGTTGCCAGCATGAGAAACCTCAGTTTCATAAATGTATTTGTTACTTCCACAGTTGAATGATCAAAGATCGATACATTGAATATAGAATGTCCAACATATTCAAAGACGACAAAATAACCATCTTCGAAGCCATGATGATCAAAAAAATGTTCTCATCCATTACTAAGGAATATATTATCATTAACTTTTCCCAATTGAATATTAAAGATTATTCCATCATAATCAATTAGCCGACCGGCGTCGCCAAGTTCATGTCCAACTCGTCGAACAAAAGTCGTATTGAGTTTCTTTAATAAAAAAATTATACGTATTCTTTTTTTGTTTGACTTTAAATAATATATTTACAAGATAGTTAAATATATTTAAAGTAAAGTAGAATTGTAGAATTTACCAATCTAACATTATGTCCAGATGATATTCCAATAGGTTGGAAAAAGCGTTGTGGTAAATTGATCTCATTCTACATTACGATTACACTGCACACAAAATACAGTACTATGTAAAAATATGAATATTGAAAAGTATGATAATTTTTTCCCGAAACGAGATTGTCAAGAACAAGAAGTAATCATTCTGGATTTATTGAAATGAAGAAGAAAAGAATTGTATTCAAAGAATGAAAAAAGTATTTTTACAAGTGTATTACATCGTCTATAAATAGGAATCAAAATTGAACTAACTAAACCAATTAATTTTACATTATCAACCTGCATAGCTAACTAACTAAACTGCTAACTAATTCTAGCTGGATGATGATGGTGCAAGCTAAGCTAGATGGAGCTAGCGAGATAATGAGCTGGAGATGAGAACAGATCCAACTCCACATTCTCTCATCTCCAGATTAATGTTTCTTTGCTTTCCAAGAAACCATGAACTCATCAAGAAACACATAGAACCCGTCACACACTTTCGTGTATCCAAGCAAGCACCACAATCAGCATTTGCAAATGCACGAAGCTGAAATGAAAAAGATGCTGAGAATAGAATTCCCTATTCTGGAGCTGCTTTGAGATATTGTAAGAATTGGTGAATTGCATTTAAGTGTGATTGTCTAGGCTGGGCAACAAATTGACTCAACTTATGAACGACAAAAGTGATATCTGATATAGAAATGGTTAAGAATAGGAGACAATCAATAAGCCTTCTATATAGTGAGGCCTTCTATATAGTGAATCATCAGTAAGAAGCTCCCCTTCAAATGCACAAAGTTTTGTCTTGGGATCCATGGGTATGAGGGCTGGATTGCAGCCAAGTAAGCCAGTATCTTCCAGTAATTGGAGTGTGTATTGTCGCTGGAAAAGAAAAACACCCTTTTGTGATGATGCAATCTCCAAACCAAGGAAATATTTCGGGCAACCAAGGTCCTTCAACTTAAACAGGCTGTGCAGTAGAAGTTTCAAGGAGTTGATGGTCTTCAAATTTGAACAAGTGATGATAATATCATCAACATAGACTAATAAGGCAACAAATGTATCTTTAGAACCTTTTGTAAACAGAGAATAGTCAGCTTTTGATTGATTGAAGCCATGAGCAATGATTTCAGTAGAAAATTTTGAAAATTACTGTCTTGAGGCTTGTTTTAAACCATATATTGATTTGTGTAATTACATACCAACATTTCTCCTTATATATTTGTATTGCCATACTTAACATACCCTAAAGGGAAGTCCATATAGATATCTTCAAAGAGATTACTATTCAAAAACACATTATTCACATCCAATTGAATGACCTGCCATTTATTAATGATAGTAACGACGAGAAACTTTTTGACTATAATAACTAACTTAGCTATGGGAGAAAAGGTTTCAATAAAGTCCAGACTTTCTTGTTGAGTATAACTTTTTGCTACCAACCGTACTTTATATCTCTCAACACTGCCAACTGATTTATGTTTGATTTTAAACACCCATTTGCAGCCTATGGAGTGTTTGTCTTTAGGCAGATGAATAATTGACCAAGTGTCATTTTGCTCCATTGCTTCCAACTCAATTTCCATGGCCTTTCTCCAACGATCAAACTTAACTGATTGGTGATAAAATTGTAGCTCATAGCTGGAAGAAATGTTGCAAAGATAGGTGCGATAAGAATGTGAGAATTTTTGATAGGATAGATATTTACTAATGGGGTACTGAGTATCATGATCAAATGAGATAGAGGTATTTGTTAGTAGATTGTAGTGATAATCCTAGAGATATGATGGTGTTCTGTGTTCTGTGTGATCTTCTAGGAGTTGGATGGAGCTGGCGAGATGATGAGCTAGAGATGAGAAATAAATAGAAAATAAGCCACATACATGTAAATTTGTTCATATAACATTTTTCAACAAATATAATTTCACTTAACCTAGAAGGAAAACTGTAGATTATATCATAATAATAAGGCCATGTTTGATCCACCTTCTTAAAAAAATGCATTATTTCAATACTTATTTTCAACCACACAATTTTCAATAAAATAATATTACACGTAAATCCAAAACTTTTTCTTCTTTTTAATCACATATTTTCCATCACATCACTATTTCAAATATATTATTTTCTTAAGAATGTGCATCAAACTAGGGCAAAAGTCATCTTTTTGATGAGAAGAAGCAAAAATCGTGGATTTGAAAAAGGCATGGCCAAGTAGCGTATGAAAATGGAGAAAAAGTCCTACGTCAGATTCATGTGAAGCAAAACGGCTTCGTTTTGCCATAAATTAAGGCAAAACGATGTTGTTTTGTCCACAGCGGGAGAAAAAAAATTAAAAAAGAAATTCATAAGCACAAGCAAAAATAAAAAAAAGGTGGAAATAGATTTACACACTGCTCCTATCAACGGTAAGGATCAGGAAAAAAGGCCAAAAAAAGAGAGGCTATAGTGAGTGAAAAATGGAACTAATCAGTGTTCATAGCTACACTTGCATTCCCCCTTTCATGTGGTAGGGATACATTTTATCAATTGATTAAAAATCTAATTTTAATTTCCATTGAACAAGAGTTAATTTTCAATCAATTAAAAGAGAGATTAAGCTCAATAGTTATTGGACGGTTGTTGTTTATTTTGAATTACGCTGACAAATATTTGAGCAAAACCTTCGTTAGAAATAAAATATGCTAATTAATTGAATGTCAAAAATAAGAATGCGAATAAAAAAGTTGAAAATATAAGTGAAAAAATAAATAAAAATTGAAAACTTTAATTGTAATAAAAATATTGTGTAGTTAACAAAGATTGTGATGTGAATATTATTATTTATTTTTGAAATAACAAATTACAAAACAAGTATTCTTCTCCTTTTTAAAATAGAGTACTCATTTTCTACATTTAAGGATTCTTAAATACATTAAGACTATCTTAAGATGATAATTGACGAGAGAAGCTAGGTAAATAGGATCATCTCGATGATCAGATCAAATAACCCTTCGAGTAACCAATCAAACCTGACGCATCAAATTCCATTTTCGATCAACAACTTAGAGGTATGGCTGAGTGGCTTAAGACATTAGTTTGCATTTCACTGCTATCACAAGAAAGAAGGAAACTTGTGAAGAGCATTTGCAGAGCTTGGCCAAAAAGGGTCGAGGTCGGGGGCCAAATTTTATAAGAGATTATTTGAGCCTCATTTTATTGTAAAAATGTATTTTGGAACAGTAAATTGTTAAGAGAATGTGTTGTTTAAAAATTAAAAAAAAGGTTTAAATTTGTGTATAATATTATTTTATTGAAAAATGCGTAATTGAAAAGAAGAGAAAAGAAAATATATTTTGAAAATAACGGAAATAAAAAAAAGGCCAAGCTTTTTATTAAAAACTTTATATTAATAATTCACAAAACAAAACTTGTGAGAGTGTAATTGTAATTATTATGTCCCCACTCCCAATCCCCACGCACCCCATATCCAGTTTGCTCTTTCTTAACCATATACATGGCATGCATTGTTTTTCTCACTTAACTATTTCATTTCCTTTTCTATTTTTCTGACTCTTAAAAAAAAATTCTCTCTATTCCCTCTATTCTAGCTCATTTGTCCCCTCCCAATTTTCTTCCTCATAATCATCGTACTCCAATTAAACCCACTTCCGATAAAATAAAACTAAACAAAGAAACAGTTACTTTCTGAATTTCAATAATATCTGTTTTGAAATTGTAGGTTCTGTGTAAATTTTTTATCAACAAGGATTGTTTGTCATTTCTTGATTTGGGTTTTCGTATCCGTTCAAGGATGTAGTTGAAGAATTCAAAAGGGAAACTTTTTGAACAATTGATTTCTTGGATCCAGTGTGGGGGACGGTAACTTTTTTGGAAATGTTCTTTTTGGGAGGTGGAGGATTTTTATCCTAATTGTTGGAATTTAATCGGCTGTAATCTCGGTTTCTCTCTCTCTCTCTTTTTCATCCTGAGCTGCCGTTGAAATTAGAAAAAAGAAATTAGGTTCTGGGTGTTGGGGGTGCTATTGGAATTTGTGGAATTATTGAATTAAATCAATTGGCATGGAGCATGCTGTGGGTGGAAAATTTAAGCTTGGGAGGAAAATTGGGAGCGGTTCATTTGGTGAACTCTATTTAGGTACTTTTTTTCTTTTTACACGAGACTTGTTAATTAAATGAATTTATTTTTATGTTAGTGTTAAGGGATTATTGTTCATCTTCATAAATCATTTATGCATCATTGACACAGGTGTGAACATACAAAATGGAGAAGAAGTAGGCGTCAAGCTGGTATGTTCCTCCCCCCCCCCCACAAAAAAAATCTGTCATTGGCCTTGCTTGTGTTGTACAAGGTTTTGGACTGATTTACGTGATAGCATGTAATGTATTATGTATAATAGGCTTTTCATCGAATTATCAACATTTGAAGCAATTTTATATTTTTTTCCTGATACATGGATCTATGGTTTTACTCAAGTTTCTTTACTCAATTTTATAATCCTACATGTAGTGGGAAGATATAATTTGGATGAAACAAGAATCATCGATATGCAGGAACAAATTTAGTTCAACCTCTTGTTTGGTTGGGCAATTATCGAAGTTTGTCAACCACGACAATAAAGTTTCAGCTTAAAAAAAAAAATCCTAAACTGTACATGAATTTTGATCTTGGACCATTTTTTTCGTAACTACTTCATTTTAGAATGGTGAACTTGTATAATTGTGGCAAACTGTGCTCAACTTGAACACTAAACCTTTCTTTTCTTGATACATGGAGAAATTAGTAGTCTTCACATGCATCTTTCTTAGTTATGAAGATAATGATGTTTCAGTATGACTACTTAGGTTTGACTCTCAAAATCTATAAGCGCTCATGTGAAGAAGATACAAGTTACTTATAGCATAAAACTTTGAGAAGATATGATTTTTTATAAAATTTTATGATAATCACTTATAATTTTTTATTGTAACTACTGCAATTACCAGGAATCTGTGAAGACCAAGCACCCTCAACTTCACTATGAGTCAAAAGTTTATATGCTTCTCCAGGGAGGAAGTAAGGCAGTCTCTCTCTCTCTCTCATTTGCAGTTCTGGATAAGATGGGAATAAGTTATGGCTAACAGCATTCTGATTAACAGTAGTTTCCTTCATTTGATGCTAAGTGATATTTTTCTCCAGAAGCATATATCTGCAACCCTTAGCCATTCTCGACACCTGTTACATATTTCGGCAAAAAATAATTCAAAATCAAAGTAGAATTGAACCATTAACCTGCTCTTCTAGCTTTACAAACTATGGAGTTAAATTATGATTTGAAATTTTATTTTATTTTATTTTTTTAAAACTTGTATCTCTACGATGATAGGAACACTACTACTTTTGTTTTCTGTTTTATTTCTTTTCTTCTGTTCATATGTGATTCTTTTCAACTACATGTACACAAATTAAATTTAAACACAATGAATTTATAGAAATCTGTTCCAGTTGAAGTATGATTGTAAAATAATGTCTTTTTCTGACTTATTAATCTCTCTATTGTTGCTTTCTTCTCATCGCAGCTGGAATTCCCAACCTGAAGTGGTTTGGAGTTGAGAATGAATACAACATCATGGTTATAGACCTTCTTGGACCAAGTCTGGAAGATCTGTTCAATTATTGTAACAGGAAGTTCTCCTTGAAAACTGTATTAATGCTGGCAGATCAATTAGTAAGGATTTAAACTGTTTCCTAAAGACTATGATTCTAGCTGCCAACTGTTGCTAGAATAACCAACTTGCAATTTTACTTTCAGATTAATAGAGTTGAATACATGCATTCAAGAGGATTTCTTCACCGTGATATAAAGCCTGATAACTTTTTGATGGGCTTAGGACGCAAAGCAAATCGGGTAAGTCTTCCCATCATTTGTGGGTCTCGTGCTCTTTTTGAATTATATGAGCATGCTCAAGGTGGTTATCAAGTATTTTATTTTAAGTTTATCAAATATACCTAATTTTTTGTCCCCTGGTATTCATATCCTCCACGACTCTGGATCCAGCATTTTATTGGAAATTTTCTTTATTCTGTCATATATATCATGGATTTTATATGTCATTTTCCTTTCCTTTTCATTTAACTATATTGTATAAATTTTGAATTGGAATTCATTTTTGTCAAAGAAAGGTTTCGAGAGTTCTCTACTTATTCTCATGACTGATTAAAGGAAATTTTCCATACTATTAAATGGTACAACTTCCATATACATGTACTTTTTGTTGGAATAGTTAGATTTAGTGGTTAAATGCAATAACCGGTCACATCCAATTGCTCTGTGGATGATGGTGGTATATGTTTTCACTACATTTCCTAGCATAATTGCAGGTTTACATCATTGATTTTGGTCTTGCCAAAAAATATAGGGATCTGCAGACTCACAAGCACATACCATACAGGTACCTTTTGTGTATGTGCTCACTAGCTTAAAGTCGTGATCTTGGGATACGTATAAAAGTCATGTCATATACCTGATGCTTCCACACGGTTGTTTAGCCTTCGCCCTTGATAGACTTCTTGTGCTAAGTTCTCAATATTGTTTTGCAGGGAAAACAAGAATCTCACTGGTACTGCTCGTTATGCTAGTATTAATACACACCTTGGAGTTGGTAAGTGATGCAACATATTTGTCTACATTGTTCCTAATCAGAAACACATGCCGTCTAAGACTTTTATTCAATCTAATTCATGTTTAACTTTGCTTGCAGAACAAAGCCGAAGGGATGATTTGGAATCTCTTGGTTATGTCCTTATGTATTTTCTGAGAGGAAGGTTCGTAGCATACAAGGGATTCCCTTTTTTAATATTTGTTAGGCATTTTGTATACCTGTTTTAAATCTTTAGTCAACTATTGTTTAACATTTTTGCATTTTCTAATATATTCTATATTTTTTTCCCTATCTCAAGCCTTCCTTGGCAGGGACTGAAAGCTGGCACCAAAAAGCAGAAATATGACAAGATTAGTGAAAAGAAGATGTTAACTCCAGTAGAGGTACACATCACGCCATGTGCATATTTTCTTTAGGTGATATCCCTGCTCAAAACTTATATGTTTTCCAAAGTGTGCTCAAAATGCTTCATAGATAACACTAACTTAAAAGTCATACAGTGGATTTGATTAATTTTCCTGCCTTGTAACCTACCTCGACTCATGATTGACATCTACTTGATTTCCACGCTGATACTAGTCCTTGATATATGAACTAAGTTGCTATTTTTCACTTACGGTGAAGACTTCTCTTATTATAAAAACGTGATTTAAAAAATTCATGCATAAAGATTTTATTTTTCACCGTCCGTATCATTAATTTAAGGGATAATTGCAGCAGCGGTACCAAATCTTTAATTTAAAAGCAGACTTTACCCAGACCTTTCATTTGTGCCACCCACAGTATCAAATCTTTCAAAAATTAGCACATGGGGTTCAAATGAATGATTTATATTAGTTTGACTATTAGTTGACTATATAATTGACCTTGACAATAATTTTGTCCAATTTTAAAAGGATAAAATGGTAATTTTACATTTTTATAACAAAATAACTAAAATCAAATAATTAATTAAAATTAAAAACCAACTTCTTCTTCTCCATCCCCACCCTAAAACCATCACCACCACTACCGGACGACTCAATTGCACCCACCCAACGCCTGCGCCACCGCCACCTCCTCAATTTCCACCTTCATTCCAATCACCTAACAAATTTTTCTTCCCCAAATTTTTCATCATAAAGTTTGTATTTCAAGACCAAGTATTGCCATTGGCAGATTTAAAGAAATTCAAAAATTGGTACAGAGATAAAAAGATTCTTGTAAGCATTCAATCAAAGAAATCCAAAAAATGATGCAGAGATGTTATCGTTAAACTCATCAAAGAAACCCAAACCGTAAAAATGGAGGATTCTCGGTGGCTATTTTGGAAGATCTAGTCCAATGGGTTGCAGCTAATTTTCACTCAAATGAATGGCGGTGGAGATTTGGAGTCTGATTAAGCTGTAAGTTGGGATGCTCAGGGCAAGAGTTTGGGAGTAGAGTTTTCTAGCGGGTGTTTCTCTTCTGTGAGTGAGTTGATGAGTATATTCGGGTTTGAAGATTTGGGGAAGAAAAATTTGTTGGGTGATGGGAATGAAGGTGGAAATGGAGGAGGTGGAGGAGATAGCAGTGGCGCAGGCGTTGGGTGGGTGCGGATGAGCCGTCCTGTAGTAGTGGTGATGGTTTTGGGGTAGGGTAGGTATGTGTGGGGTGGATGGAGAAGAAGAAGTTGGTTTTTGACTTTTAATTTTAATTAATTATTTGATTTTTTTTATTATTATAACAAATGTAAAGTTACCATTTTAACATTTTAAAATTAGAATTATTGTCAAGGTTAAATATCTGGTCAACTAACGGTCAAACTAACAGAAATCATCTATTTGGACTCCATGTGCTATTTTTTAAAGGTTTGGTACTGTGGGTAACATAAATGAAAAGGTTTGGACAAAGTCTGATATTAAATGAAAGGTTTGGTATCGTTACTACAATTATCTCTTAATTTAATGGAATTGATTCTTGTTTATTTTCATTAACTATTATTTTCCTCTATTCCTGGATGCTAGATCTTGTCCATCATTTTCATCCCAGCACATCCTCTTTGAATTTGGTGGTCCCCTTCGTGTTTTATTACTTACTAGTGACAGTGGCTGAATGTTCACATGATTTTAAAATTATTTACAGGTGCTATGCAAATCATATCCATCTGAGTTCATATCATATTTTCATTATTGCCGATCATTAAGATTTGAGGACAAGCCAGATTATTCTTATTTGAAGAGGCTTTTCAGGGACTTATTTATTCGCGAAGGTAACAACTACTAAAGCTATGTGATTCTGTTGTCATGTCCAACTTCTAGTTGTCAGTATGCAATAATTTTTTTCTAATGTAATCATTTTATGCTCAACTTGTTGAGTTCCTTCTCGAGTACTTTTTATTTCAGCTGACATATGTTGCAATATCCGCATCTTGACTTGTTATCTCCACAGGTTACCAATTTGATTATGTTTTTGATTGGACAATACTGAAGTATCCTCAGATTGGCACCAGTTCTAAAGCAAGAGTAAGTGCTTGCGCACGTTTGAATTTGTTTTTATCTTTTTACAGGGAGGATGTACTAATTCATGTCTTTGGTTCCAGAATCCCAGTGGCAATGCAGGGGCTGGAACTTCTGGTGAAAGACCATTAAAACCATCAGGTATACATGTTTAGCAGAAAGAACACCTGAAAATGAAGATTTTTGTGATATCTACATGAACTTGTGAACTAATGATGAACGAGCTTGAGTGACTACTGATTTTCTACGTTTTATTTGTCCCATGTACTTATTTCATTATCTTGAACTTTGAGCTGTTCACATTATTTGAATTAACATGTCCGGTTTCTGTATACTATTTTAATAGTGATTGGTAGATTTATTATTGATTCTCTCTTCTGATTTGGTTGTTTCATTTAGTGGGGCAAGATATTCGAGATAGATTCTCAGGCGCTGTTGAAGCTTTTTCGAGGAGGAATCCTGCAGGTTCAGGGCGTCATGGTGAACATTCAGGACACAGGGCATCAGAATGTGCACCTTCATCCAAGGATGTGGTATTTTATCCTTTCCCATTCCAATGATAGAATTAGGTTTCAGAGCATGTTTTGCCTAAGATTTTAAGCAAGTAAAACTTTTAGATTTTTATTTCCAATCATATGTTACCCTTTTCTTGTAAATAAAAAAAATAACTTATTTTGACAACAGGTAGGGGCTACTTTCTTAGTTATATATTTACAATTTTCAAACTTATTTTTCTAAGCATAGCCAAACATGCTCTTATTCTATTAGTGATTTCCCCTTGTGTTTCATTTTCTCGTGTCAAATTTCTTACTAAAAGGTTTCTTATGATTTCTATTAAGCAGCAACCCGATTCAGAAAGAGGCCAAACTTCTCGAAATGGCAGCACTTCAAAGAGAGCAGCAATTTCGAGCAGCAGACCAAGCTCCTCTGGTGGACCCGCCGATGGCCACTCAAGTAGATTGATGTCGAGCAGTGGCCGCATCTCTACAACACAAAGAATTCAACCCGGCATTGAACCTAAATCATCTGCCTTCTCTCGTACCGCAGTTACTAAAGGCACTCACAGTGATCCTCTTCAAAGCTTCGACTTCCTCTCAATCCGTAAGCCAGCCTAGATTTTCATAAAAAGTAAAAAAGTCAAGTGAAGGCAATCTTTCATTTGCATAATTAGCGCTCTTTGTAAATGTGGAATTGTGTCGTGTCCCCTTTTTGTTTCCTGTTTGTAAATTGCAATGCATAATTCTCATCCAAGGAAGTATTGAGTTTTATGTGCTGTGATTTTCATTTTCGTTCCTAAAACCTAGTGCAGTAAAATCAGGAAAGACTATCACAGTAAATGAGTAAGATGACATTAAAATTTGGTGGTTCTCTTGTGACAACTCAGTAACAAGTAAACCACTTGATAATAAAACAAAATTTGGTGGTTCTCTTGTGACAAATTCATTAACAAGTAAACCACTTGATAATAAAACAAAAAGCCTTCCAAAATCCTATTACAAAATCTTAATATCCGTAACTTGGGTGGGAAAAACTCTTATGCTGCGGTCTCTTTCTTTAGCTTTGCAAGCTCCTGCCTCACAATGCCAGCCTTCTGCAGCATCAAATGTTAGTTGATCAGCACCACCAGCAGTCAAATGTTAAGAGTCAAGCAAGTATTGAGCGCACAAGCACGTTATATAATAACATACACTTTAAACAATTACAGTAATTCTTTTATAACCGAAGTGATTTGATTCTGGATTACGACTAAAAGCTAGGAGAATTTGACATTTCACAGTAGATAAGTAGTACTACCTTACATTTGGTGATGAGTTCTTCATAGAATCTCCAATGGTGGTATGAATTGGGTGTAAATTAGTATTTCCAAAACCAATTTTGCATCCTTATTTACATCTCAGTAGACCTAAATTCAAATTTTGCTCCAACAAGAAGATCTAAATCAACTTTTTGCCTTGTGGATGTTAAAAAATCTGATGGAAGGAAAATGAAATTTGCATTTCCTTTGCATCTCTCTATTAGAGAGATTTTAGACCACTTTGGAAATTCAAATCACAGGTTAGATCTATTTTATCCCACAATTGGAGATGCTCTTACACGAGTGTGTTGTTCAACATCACTAAAGTGATGTTTTCTGTTATTTGTTCTCCATATTTCTTTCCTAAGGTTATTAGCGTCTGGGCTTCTGATTTTGCTTCAGCTTCTCTGAGGAAGAGACCATTAGCCAGCTTCCTCTAAAAGACAAAGCACTTCCAACATGTTGAAAGTAGCTTCTTAGTCTTAAAGGCATACCTAACAAACAGGCCCTTAAATTTATCTAATCTCAGAATGCACACACAAAAATTAGTATAAAAAAGTACTCTTATCAAAACGATTCCGACCTTGATTTTTGCCAACATCAGCTTGAACCTGTCCAAATCATTTAGAGAGGCCCTTCTCTTCTGCACAATCAACTTCCTCCCCCAGGAACTGTTTTCCCATTTATTCTTGACATCTGCAAAAAAAGGTCGTAAAGTTTCATTTGACAGAACAATATAACCAATGCAAAGTAAGGTATTCTAAATTTAACACCAACCAGCAGCTTCCATAGCGGCAATAAGAGTCTTTTTCTTCGGAACCCTTTTGATGTCAATCTTTATGTCGGTAAGAGAAAGCCTCTTAAAGTTCATTTGGCTCCTAACCATGTCGGGTGCATCCACTAGAGCCTATAATTAAGCAAACGGTTTAAAATGCAGTCAGGCGAGATTCATTTCATCGTATGAACACAAACAAGATTGAAGGACGAAAAATGTCAGTTCTAACTTCGAATGTTTATCAACAACACTGGCAGTCTGGCATACGATAAATTATAAAGAACATGCAGCAAAAAACATTAATGAATTTCAATTCTTTAATCAAATTACAGTCAAAGATAGTGCAAACAATTAATCCAAGAAAAACGCATAATCCAAATCCAATAATCAAATCTATTGAAAGATGTATTATTCCAAATAACTTAGTCAAATTCACTTGCTGAAAAAACAAAACAACGCGAACGGCATAAATAACGGAAAGTAACATAGATTAAATCCAAAAGAATCCAATTAAAATGAACTAAAATCAAAATGTATTTAACGCACAAATCAAAGGAAAAACTTGTTAGACATACGCGGTTCTGGTCGATGACATCAACGATGACGCCAAGCTTCACATAGTCCTTGCCGTAGTTGACGAGAGCCCCCCTTCCGATCTCACCGAATCTCTTGAACGGCTATAAATTCTTTCTGGTCGATGACATCAACGATGACGACAAGCTGGCCATATTCTTTGCCGTAGTTGACAAGGGCCACTCTTCCGATCTCGACATACCTCTTGAACGGCTACAAACAAGAAACAACCCAAAAATCATTTACATTGCAGAGAAATTGAAACCTTATAAACAAATCTATACAGAGAGATCGTATAGAAAATGTTGAAAGGCATAAATATTTTTGAGGGCCTCACCATTTTCGTGGAATCACAGCGTGAACTGTGTGCAGGTAGATGTAGAGTGTGGAAGGGGTTTAGTTTACACTTTAATTTAGGATTTGTGATGATGAGTTATAGCTTTGCTAGGGTTTTGTTGGTTAGGATTGTTGGGCTTTCATTTAGACCCAATTCTGAAAGGAGGAAATTACACAATTTCAGGTGTTCAAAATTTCAAATTCAAAAATTAGGGATCAAATTTAATTCTTCAAAAATCTGGTGATATATAAACTCGAATCAGCAGCACGTCGCTACTGCGATGACCACAGCAGCGCACGCTGCTGCGATGACCCCAACGGTGCTGTAGTGGGTGACTGCTGTGGGTGGTGGTTTGCGGTTTTCTGGTCGATGACATCAACGATGATGACAAGCTGGCCATATTCTTTGCCGTAGTTGACAAGGGCCACTCTTCCGATCTCGACATACCTCTTGAACGGCTACAAACAAGAAACAACCCAAAAATCATTTGCATTGCAGAGAAATTGAAACCTTGTAAACAAATCTATACAGAGAGATCGTATAGAAAATGTTGAAAGGCATAAAATTTTTTGAGGGCCTTACCATTTTCGTTGAATCACTGCATGAACTGTGTGCAGGTAGATGTAGAGTGTGGAAGGGATTTAGTTTACAGTTTAATTTAGGATTTGTGATGATGGAGTTATAGCTTTGCTAGGGCTTTGTTATTTAGGATTGTTGGGCTTTCATTTAGACCCAATTATGAACGTGTGGGTTTTTGTATGGACTTCTATCGGCCTCTCGTTTCATTTAGGCCCAATTATGAACGAATTGGTCTTTTATATTGGGCTTCTATGGCATCTCATTTTAGGGATAAGGACATTTAAAAAAGTGGAAATTAAATATTAAACCCACCTAACTAATCACGTACAAACCCTAAATCATTTTTCTTCAATCTTATCCATTTTTTCCTCTTCACATCTCGTCTCACTCTCTCTCACACTCTCTCTACCCTCTCCCTCAGATCGGCATCGCCATTGAGGAGCTCCCGTCACCAGAGATACCTCCGAACATCGCTATGAGGCCCCCTTGATGTGAGTGTAGGGCAGTGGCGTCGTCGCTGCTGTATTGCGCAGTCACAGTCGGTGATGTGTGTTGCTATGCTACCATCGCTATGAGAAGGCGCCATCGGAAGATGTCGCCTAGCACTGCGATGCCGCTGCGCGCGATGCTAGTAGCCCACTGCGAGAAGGCGCCACCGGAAGATGACGAAGTCTGTAAGCGAATGAACTTTGTACTAGCAGCTTGTTATTACAGGCTGCAACACCTGCTACTACAACCTGCTTCATCTGTTCGTTCGCTACTACAGCGGTGTCGCAAGGCAACTTCAAACTCACCGTCGCAGAAAAATCTGGGGAGGGAGGGATCCAGTGTTTTTTGGTCGCCTGCAGCAGAGAAAATTTAGGGAGGGAGCTTGGGTTTTTTGGAGTGATTCTGTGGTGATTGTGTGTTTCCTATGGGGCGGTGGTACATTTCTGTTGGTGGTGGTGTGACGGTGCGTTCGAGATGGTGATGGTGGTGCAGTGGATCTAGGTGGGGGTGTAGTGATTTGTTGGCAGTGACTTTGTTGTTGGTAGTGTTGTAGTGTTATGGCGGTGGTGGCGGGTGAGGGTGGTTGCAAGTGGCTGTAGTGGTCGTGCTGGTAGTGTTGGAGAGGGTGGTCGAAAGTGGCCATAGTGGTAGTGGCGGT